GCCTTTAGAATGCAAGCTTTCGAGGAATATTTAATGACATGAGAAAATGCTTGAGAATACCATTAAATAGAAACACAGATATTGATGTAAGTTTGTGCTGCACTTAGGGTTTTATTTTGTTCTTCTGAGCTATTTCTATTGTGCATATTCTTGAATATGCATTCTGCAATCATGCATCATGTCCTACACAATATGTATTTTTTTTTTCTACCCTGGATTTGAAGCCTGGTTCCTCAGTCATGCAGAACTTATAAAACTTTGGACCAGTCACTTTGGGGCCTGGTTTTCACAAAAATACAGAAGAGACAGTATGTCTGAACTCATGGTGGGTACACATTAGATGACATGGACAGGAAAATGCCTACCCCCACTCCTGGTGAACACACAGTAAAGGCCAACTTTCTTTTAGTTTAGTGCCAAAAATGAGAATTCAGGGGTCTCAGGTGTGATGAGCCCATGATTAGTTTCCTAAGGTGGCAAATCACCATGAATAGAGTGGTTTACACAACAAAAATGTTCTCTCACAGTCCTTGAAGCCAAATTCTACAGATGTTGGCAAGAATCTTTCCTTTCTTCTACTGGCTTCCAGTACCTGCTGGCAATTTCTGGCATCCCCTGGCTTGTAGATGCTCCAGTCCCTGCCTCTGTCTTCACGTGGCCTGCTTCCATGTGTGCCTGGGTCTCCTCACCTCTACCAGTAACATGCATAGTATGACCAGCATCACCTCATCTTACCTTTACTATAGCCACAGAGACCCACCCTGCCGAGGAAGGATACCTTCACAGGTGCTGGGGTTAGGACTCCAACTTGTTCTTTGGGGAACGCAATTAAATGTATAACAGATCGTTTTCGCTCCATAAAAATCAGGCAAGGGTCTATGATAGACATCAATTAGATGGACCAGATAAGAGAGTGCAGGAGCCAACCCCACTAGACTCTTCCACGTGCAGACACTGCACACACAAACGTCATTCCACAGGCAGCCATAGTGGTTCTTCTTGTAAAGAAAAAGAAACTGAGGCAGAGGAATTAAGGCCCTAGAGTCACCTGGCTATGTCATGGGCTTGAAGTGGGCTGGCTGCGATGCCAACAGTGAAGACTTGGAAAGAGAACAGGATGGTATGAGCCAAGCCATGAGGGAATCTTCCATAGGCCAATGAGGGATGATGTCCCCGAAAGAAAATCATTTGAAATGAAACCTGAAAACACTGGTCAAATGAGGATCAGAGAAAATGCCTCGATGAACAGAAAAGAACATGAGCCAAGGTGTGAGCCAGGAAAATTCTGACACACCCAAGAAACTGAAAGATGACGAGGATGGCTCAAGCACTTATTAGAGGGAAAGAAAGTTCAGAGAAGACGCGAGATCATGCAGCAGCTTGCGGGCCACAAGCAGGTATTTTGTTTCACCCCCTGGGCCAGAGGAGTCATCGGGTGAAATGCTGAAACGACTTGGTCTGACTTACCCAGGGCCCAGCACAGGGCTTGTTCCACAGAAGGGGTGCAGGGAAGAGCTGTGAAACATCTGAATAGACAGACTCCAACTAGGTTTCCAGAAAGATGGAAACTGCTGGCTTTACAGAAGGAAAAATATGATTTCGGTCTTTGCCCATGAGAAGAACAAACAATTTCGCCTAATCCAAATTCACTTTCATGCTTCTCTGCCTAAGAAGCACGCAGAGCCACAGAAACCCACAGGCACATCATGACAGAATAATTTCAGTGATTATTATCAAATGCCTCTATTTAGAAAAGCTCAGAAGATTGTATTAGCACAATCCAATATTTATGAAATGACACTCTACCGTAATGAGGGGCTGAGAAAATTAAGATTCAAAGCAAGAGTTGTTCTTTTCGGGGGAGGGTGGGAAAGGCCACGTTACCCAGCCTCTGGGCACCTTGGTTTTCTGGTCTGTAAAATGGGAAGATAGTGGCAAAGACTAAAAATGGGTGATCACTTCATTGACAGTCTGAAGGCATTTAATAATACTGATGATTCATTTCTTCTTTTAATACAAGGCATTTGATAAAGTCTATTTGCCCTCCCATGTATCCATCTGACAAGGTGGGATTGTACCTGAAAACTGTGTGCTGCAGTTTTAGGAACTGAAGATTAGGGTGTGAGCGAGACTGGTAAGGCCCCAATGTGCAAGGAATGCCTCTTCTGGGGGTAAGACATACATTGAGCTAATAGCACCACCGTGGCGCAGGTAGCTGCAGACTTGTGCAGAGTGAGATGGGAGGTCTTTGCGGAGCGAGCTGACCCAAATGGCTGCTTAGGCAGTGCTATCTTAAGGAAGTGAGGTTGAAGATAAGAAGGGGAAGAACAAGAGAACAGGTGAAGGAAAAGTTCTCATAAGATCTCATATGAGTTCCGGAAAGCATCTAGAATACTCTGGACACAGACAGAAGGCAATGTGAAATAGGCACAGAGGAGTAGGACATGGTGGGCCTGGAGGCTGGGAGGCACCTGACCTGCAGGGCCCTAAAGGCCACAGAAAGGCTCTATCTTCTTTCTCATAGTAATAGGAAACCTTAGAAAGATGCTAAGCAGAAGCTTGGAGGGAGCAATGAAGGGACAGGTAAGGTGAGCAGGCCTAGAATCTGAAACAACTCTGACTTCCATATGAAGAGTGGGTTAACATCAAAAGAGGCACCAACGTGACTATTAGAAGGTATTCAGTTATTCAGGTGAGAGTCCATGGGTAACTGGGCATAGACCTGACTGGTGACAGACCTGAGCTGCACTCAGGTGAGGAAGTAAAATAAAGTGATTAATAGAAAGAGGCAGAAAGAGAGAAATGGGACCCTTGAGTTTTTGGCTCAGCACCAGAGTAGATGAAGTGATCTTTCCTAAGACAAGACCAGAAAGTACTTGAGAGCAAGTAGGTAGAAAGTGGGAATGAATGAAATAAGATGAATGAAGTAAGAGTTTAATTTTGCAGATGTTGAGTTTGGAAAGGCTCTAAGACCCGCGGAGCTTCAGATGGGCTAAAGACAAATAGAAAGAGCAGAGGTCTGCATGGAAACACACAAACACAATGTTTACACACACACACACACACACACACACAATCTCAATTTATGTGGTTGACATGAAAGATGGCAAGCAGAGCAGAGTAGATATGGTATGTTTCAGCACAGGCGCTCTGAACTCATGAGGTCCCCAGTGGGGACACTTTGAGAGTCAAGTCACCATTATTCAGAGTTACAGTGCAGCGACAGGCTTGGAGGTCAGCCCATGGCCATCTTACTAATGGCATGCATAGTAGTCAGCAACTCTGTTCACTCCAAGTAAAGTCCCACCAAATCTGGAAAGCTCAATTTTGTACAACACCACATCAGTGTTCCACCTGGGAAGAATGTGTCTGCATTCAGGAGAAATTCATGCAAACAATTCACATTGGCCTACTAAGGCCCTCATAGAGCCATCCAGCAGCCTCCTCATTTGGAGCCAAACTCAAAGTCAATGAGGCAGTACAGTCACACCCTCACCTCCTTGTCTCTGAGTATCTTCTCTGTCTCCAGCTTAGTAACATCCTAGAAATTTCCTCTCCAAGAATTAGCAGCTGGGAAGTGTGTCATGTAGTTCTAGAGTTCATAAGAGATGGCTGAAGTCAAGGTCCTCCATTGTATAATGACTGATTTCATGTGTCAGCTTGACTAGGCTAAAGGATGGCCACATAGCTGGTAAAACATAACTTTTAAGTGTGTCTGTGAGGACGTTTCCCAAAAAAAGTAGCATCTAAATTGGTGAACTGAGTAAAGCACATGCCCTCCCCCATGTGGGGGGGCATCACCAAAATCATCAAGGACCCACAGCATGAAAATACAGAGGGAGATTGAATTCACTCCCTGCCTCTTTTTGCCTGGGTTAGGATATCCATCTTCTCTGGCCTTGAGACATCAGTGGTCCTCGCCTCAAGCTCTCAGATTCAGGTTGGGGCTCACACGATCAGCCCCCCATTCTCAGATTGTTGGTCTTGAAATGAAGCACATCACTGGCTTTTCTGGCTGCCCAGCTCACAGATGACTGTTAATGGGGCTTCTTGGCCTCCATGACCATGAGAGCCACTTCCCATAATCAATCTCTTCTCCTGTTGGTTCTGTCTCTCTGACTAGTTCATATGGAGTTAAGTATAAAACAAGCCTGAAGAACTCTAATATTTAATGGCGAGAATGAATTAACAAAGGAGCCTGACGAAGAGCAACAGGAGGGGTTGGTAGGAACCAAAGCAGTGTAGAGGATACTAGTAGCCCTTGGCTGGTGTGAGGGAGCACAGAGAACCTCAAATCCCTTCGCCAACAACTAATTGTCTTTACTATTGTCTCAGGAATCCTACTGACAAAAAGGGGTGATTTTAATGTTCTCAGGGCTGATGCACCCCCAAACTTACCAGGTGAACCTCTTCAGACTCAGACTCACCCAGACCTGCCCCACCCTAACTGTGTTTTCCTGGACTGTACCTCCTCCAGGTGACCCTGCTCCCTAGAGTACATTAGACATGACTCTCTCCCATAGGTCTGCCTCATCCAGAGATTCATCCATGGTGTTTATTGGGCCTCAATCCTATTGGTTACAAAAAAGCTTGCCATTCAGAATGTCAAGAATGCTATTATGACTGTAGACATCTCCCTACATCTATAAAGCTGCATCTATGTGGAAAAGAATAACCTGAAATTCTTGAGAAGTTCTTTCTTCCCCTAAAATCCTATTAGTTGGCTCCTAAGTAAAATCTAGTGGTACCCTGCTTGTAGTCAATGCTTACAACCTCCACGCTGAAAGAAATCCCAAAGGTTCTAAATCCAGGTGACATATCATTCCTATCACAGTCTGAACAATCCATTCAACCTTGCTTTGCATACTTCTGGGGATGGGGAACTCAACAACAGTCATTTACTGTACTAGAGAGAGCACAAGCCATAAAAAGCTTCCTTCCCACAAGTCATCATAAAAGTTACTATCCCCATCACATCCCCAAAACAGTGAGCCACGTACCTGTGGGTACTGCTGGGTCCAGCATTGGTTTCTCCCACGTGTTAATCTGCTCCCAGGTAAACCCATTGGTTCCCAGGGCCACACTATAACCACAGTTGCTGTAGTGTTCCTCAAAGGAACAGCCGCCTGTAGAAAAAAGAGATATGGGTAAATACATCCACATGTCTGAAGCTTGCTCCATTACCCCTGTCTCATCGGCTCTCCATTTACAGCTTTGAATTTTAAACTCTGGACAAAATAAAAAAAGAAAGAAAGAAAAAAAATAAGACAAGCAAATTGGATTTTTATATTTGCTTTGGTGCTCTCAAGAAAGGCGATGGCATCTGCAGGCCCCCCTATTTTAAAAAGTTAATAAGGCTAGTTACATTGATTTCAATCTTCCTTCCTGAAAAAGTAAACAGCAATGTCTCATTCTAAGTAGGAACAATGAATGCCAGGGCATGCCTCTGTAATTGCTTCCTGCAACATGGCGAGACGCTGCCAAGCAGCAGAGAACACCAGCTCTGGAGTCTACCTCCATGAGATGCAATCCCAGCTTTGTAAAGCAGTGTCAGCTTGGATGTCACATCCACCTGTCTCAGTTCTCTCACCTGGAATAAGAAGAGCAAGACCCCTCCATCCGCCCCCCCCCCCAATAGAACTACCAGAAAAATTTGATGAGGAACACAGGAAAAGTAACCAGCACAGAACATGGTTTCAACATCCAGCCCCTCCCCTACAAAAATCACTTTTCACAGAGTGAAAGTCATGCTTGTGAAGAATTCGGCAGTCAGGTCCCTGGAAGCTAGCAAAGCAATGCTGATAATGTTGGACGCTTTCTCCTTTGAAGGCCAAGCCAGGCACCATTTTACAGGAAATGCGTGAGTGTGACTTTGACAGCAACTGACTAGCCAGGAGCTGTGGGTGGGACACCCCTGGTCCCAAGTGACATTGAGCGAGATGTGGACGTAGGACTGGACTCCAGCTAGAAGTGTGGTATGTCCAGCAAAACAGGAGTCCAAAATACCCTGGGGAAGGAAGAGGAAGAAGAGAAGAAGAACTGGTCAAAGCTTTGAAGGCTGGAGCATCTGAGGATGGAGGCGAGAAGACGTGCATTCCAGGTGACATATTACCCCTATCACAGCCTGAACAATCCACTCAGCCTTGGTCTGCATACCTCTGGGGGTGGGGAACTATGGGCGTGACAGAGGCAGGGAGGCAGTGTCAGGATCAAGTTCTACAGCAGCCTCCTGACGGGTCTCTCAGATTCCAGTTCACACCTGCTCCATCTTTGCCGTATCTCGACATAGCGCCATCTCCCTCTCTACGCCGCTGCTGGCTCCCCTCACACGCCCAAGTGTGGCTCCGCACCATGTGGAGCATCCAGCCCTGCCGGGGTCTGTGGTCTCACACAGCTGTGTCCCCATCAGCTGCAAAGGACAAATTCCTTGTCCATGCCCAGACCTGAGGTGTCCTCTGCTGTTTGCTGACTGGATACAGAATCCGGTGACAGAAACACAAAGGAAAAATATGTGGTGTCACACTCTATCCACTTCCTCATCTTGCTGGTGATCTTTGGTCAAGTATCTCAGGCCAAGCAAAGGTAGCCCCAGGGTTAAAGCTTGAGTTGAAAGCATTAAGTAGCTTTAAAAGGAACATGCACTTGGAGCATTTTATGTTGGCATCTAGCAAAAGAAGTAAGGAGAGGGAGAGCTAGTCCAAGAACGACCATGAAGAACAGAAACCTACAGGAGGCCATGGCTAGTGCGAAATTGGCCATGATGGGAAACGGGAGATGCAATGGTGGGAGCTAAAAGACCTGTTTGCTCTCTTTTATTCATTCAACAATAACCTAATTGAGCACTTAGTGTAAGATCTGGCTGGGTAAGTATTAGGCCCTTGCTTATAGTGGTTTATAAAAGAGGAATGCTATCACTGTTGAGAGAGACAGACGGCTGGTAAACAAGTAAATTAATCAATAGCTGTGCATTTCAGTGTTTCTCTCCAGGCTGCAGCAGGCTGTGTGTGGCTGCTAAGCTACAGAGGCCAGGGTCCTCTCTGAGCATGAACTGGAAACAGTTCCCTGTCATGTCCCCCACCTTCACCAACCCCCAAGGAGCTGGCTGCAAGGGACTACCAGGTGTCACCAGTGATTGGGGCAACTGAGGGAAGATGAACATTGCCAGTGTGGACTCACAAAGTCAACAGACAGGAAGAAGTCCACAGAAATGTTAGGAGTAGGAGACAGAGAAGCTTCAGTCCAGTGTAATGATGAGGTTGACCTTTCAAAGACAAGAGGGAGACAGTCAGACAGCACCCACTAACAGCAAGCTTCTGGGTGGCTGCAACAGCTCAGGCCTCACTGGGCACCTACAGATTTGGACGTATGAGGCAACCTGTGTGAATGGGCTGCTGGGCACAAATCAAGCCACAATGGCACGATGGAGGGCCCCCAGGGGCCCCCCACCTAGACCTGTTCTTGCGTGTCTCGTACTTGTCACTTCTGTCTAGAAGGTTCCTCCCCACATGGTCTGTCAAACACACGCTGCCAGGTACTCCCCAAACCACTTCTATAAGCCCTCTCTGACAGGACAGCAGAGACAATGCCCCGGATATGGAAACACAACACACACCACTGCAAATCTGAGAACAGTGGCCACAGCGGCTCTGATAGGGTGACCTCTTTTCCTGCACCACCACCACCACAGAGCCCAGCCCGTGGGAAACGAGAATCAGGACCATGCCGGCGACAATGGAATGGACACGAGAGAGGAGCTGCTGCACCTCAAGTGTTCTCAGGGCGGACAGAGTCTGAAATGGACGTCAGTCCCACAAGGCTAGAAGCCCCCACAGTGCCACAGACACCACAAACCACTTGGAGTGTCTCTGCGCACTCAAGAACCCTGTTTCCAGCCCTCCCTTCAGCGGGCCAAGACCTCGTGACAAAGCCCATACTGGGAGACAGGGGTGCCCACCATCTGCAGAGCTGATCCTTAAAAATCACCACCAACAGGCCACCACCCTCCTTGCCTGCTCCTGCTGTGAGCAGCCTTGAAGGCAGAGATGTTAAGAAAGAGATATTATTCCCCAGGCTGGAGGGGAGCTACCCAGAAGGCCACCTGGCTGGTGATTTGGGCATCAATTTTGAGGAGCAAAGTGCCAACTGACACCCGGGGTTTAGTTGTCACCACAGCAAAACCCAGCACATCCTGACATGTATGCTCATGTTTTCACTTAGCATTCACTCCTGCTTTGGTTTTGTTAACTGGCCAAACATTTACATACCAATATGACTTAGGGGTTCCCCTTGACTCCCCTATGTGTGTCCATGCTTCACTCACACCCGCCATGCGGGCACCCTTGCTGCCTCTCCCCCTCTGGCAGCCAGTGTATTCTTCATTGAGTCTAAGAATTGTTTTTGCTGTGTTCTGACAGAGGACATTTTTTGGTTTTTGTCTTTTTTATATTCCACGGATAAGTGAAAGCATCCAATATCCGCCTTTCACTTCCTGGCTTCATTCACTAACATTCTCACCTCACCACTTGGAAGGCAGATTTTTGTTTTGTTTTGTTTTTTAAAGATCTACTTACTTATGCACACAGAACTGGGGTACAGGCCAGAGGTGCAGGCAGCAGTGAGAGGATTCACCAGAGACAGAGTAGGGAGCAAAACAGGTCGACCAACGAAGTACACTGCTGAGGGGAGCAGCAGACAGGCCAGGAGAGGTCTGCCGCGCCATGTAGGTCACCTCCGGAGTGGGCAAGGATCGAACTCATGCTGAAGTGGCTTTAACTTCTTGGTGCTCTGCTTTAACCCACTGCGCCATCAGGGAGGGCCCAGAAGGCAGATTTTTATCCTTGATTCGTGTGTAAGGTAAGTGAGGGTTAAGGGAAATTTCGAGCCAGGTTGAATCTCACAGTGGCCCAGCTATAAAACCCACACTGTTTCAGCTAAACCAGAAAGACAGCATATCCCCACCCCAAGAATAAGGCCCTTCACCTCTAAGGTCGTGAGAAGGACCCAGACAGCTTCCAGGGTGGTTGGCTCGCTTCCTGTTCATTTCGGGAACATTTCACAAAGATCTTTTTTCACAGAGACCAGCAAATCTGACTCTCTGCCGAGCCCACACATACACACTCAAGACATAATGCACAAAACATGCTCAGGGAGGTGTACGGAAGCTCCCAGAAGAAATCGGCCATACATTCGGGTGAATGGCCCAAGGAAACCCATTTTCTGCCTTCTTCAGATAGGATTCAGGAGGGCTCTACCTTCAGCATCCCGACTTGTCCATCTTGAGCAAGGTCCTTAACTAGCTGCTCTTTATCTCCAGAATCTGCTGCATCTGTCACCTGGCTACCTACCCCCAGGGGGAGCTGACCCGCACTGAGCACCCGCCGGCCCCAGTCCTCTAAGGGGTGAGGATCCATGTACGCTTCACAGCCACTGACCAGGCATCTTCCCACCTCCACCTGCAGGACACTGGGAACCCCAGTGAGCAGGTCTGGACCCCAGTAGCAGGCCTGGGGCCCTTGTGACTCAGTTTATATTTTCAGGTCACATTCCTCGCTTCTCCCCCAAGGAGGATTTGGCTTAGCACAGAGTCCAAAGCAGTGTCTACTCGGGACTGTTGATGCCTACTTGAGCCATATCCTTCAGGTCCACCAAAGGTTCTCTCTCAATCCACCAGTCTGTGTCATCCTCTATGTAGTTCGCAGTTTTCCTCCCTGCAGGAGAGTTCCTAGAAACAAGCACCTGCCTTGTGCTTTTCCACATTTTCTGTGGAACGCTTGGACACCCAGCAAAGCAGGACGCATGCGCAGGGAATTCTGTGGCATCCCTTGGTCCTGGAGCTCGAGAACATACAGCACATCCACATGCTGTGCGAGCGGTCACCGGCTACCTACCGTCACTGCAGTCCAACCCCAGTGGCCCCGTACAAAGAAGCAGGAATTTAGTAGGACAGCGCAGAGAAACTGAAAAGACGAGAAAGAAAAGCCGGACCTGGGGAGTGTCAAGTCCACGCTGCTGTTCCTGCCCTCCCACCTGCTAAAGGCAGATTGCATATTCAGCACTGGGCCTCCGCCCGCCCCAGACAGAGGGAAATCTGTTCACATATTGGACCCTCTGTGTTCATACAATAAAAACCAAATTGCTCTGGAAAATTACAACCATTCCAGGTGCTTCGATCACACAAGAAC